TCTTGGCTATTGTGGATAATGCTGTTGTGAACATGGGAGTGCAAATCTCTTTTTGAGTTAGTGCTTTTATTTCCTTTGCACATATTATCAGAATTGGAATTTAAGCAATATATATATATATATATATATATATATATATATATATATATATATATATATATAAAATCAAGGGATTCTTGCAGTAGGTTGTGAATAAGGTTTAGTGCAAAATGAAGTCTGAGTTCTATTTCTCCTTTGCCATATACTAGCATCACCCTAGACTAGAGGTCATTTATAACCTCTTTGGGTCTACACTTCCTGATATAGTAAGAAACTAACATGCTTCTTATGGTAAAAATAAGATAACAAGGTTCAAGTGCTTTGAAAGCCAGTTGTGCTATCGGGAAATAAGGTTGCTATATTGGGTCAAGTGGGCTCTGGAAGACCAGACAAGGTGGGCTATAGCCTAGTAAGAGAACTTGGAGTGCAAGCAAACCAGAAGTGGAAGTGCTGTTCTGAAGGGAAGCTGAGCCCATTATCAGAGTAATGGTAAGAGAAACTTTCAGAGAAAGACAACTGGTTTGAATTTGAACAGCATTTTTGGGGGAGGGGGGGAAGCAGGGGGAATAAAAAGCATTTCCATTGCCAGGACACTGATGGGTTGAGAGTTGGGGAGAGGTAATTTGTATTGACCTTCTTTAATAAAAGTAAGTTTTTCCCTATGTTAGATGAAGTAGGTTTGCATACATTTGTCTGCAGTGCTATAGAGGAAAAAAGGGGGGAATCAGGGAGGTTGGAAAATTCGAGAGAGCAAACATACTGAGATCTCCATGTTACATATGCAAACAGAGTTTACACTTTAAAGATTCCTTCACTGCAGGTGGATATTGTGGTGGAAAGGTGAATAATCAACCCTTGCTTTCAGCTGCCCTCTCACTGCAACAAGACTTATTTGTGAGGTCTCATACCCATGGTGTGGGCAAGTGGGTTTTTAATATCTAAGTCCAGCCTAGCAGCAGGAATGCTCTGGCCCTTCTCAAGAAGGGAAATAACTCCACTAATACACACATGGTGAATGAGATTGATGCTAGAGTGTTGAGTATGACAGATGAATGGTAGCCAATTTCTCAGAGGAAAGTAATGTGGCTAGTGGAAATAAATGAATATTCTAAAAAACAAAAAAACAAACAAAAAACAACTGATTGTACTGTTCAAAAAGCTGTTCCTAAAGTGTTAACAAAAATTCTTATTGGCAGAACGTCCCAAAGTAAAATTGCACATGTTATGAACCTAAAGTAGTCACAGTGTAGCACAAATAAGTTAAAATGTAAAAGCTATCAAGACTACAGTATGAAATTTCCAAAAGTTTCCTATTATTTAAAGTAAAAAAGGAGGTGACAGTGTAAGAATATCATGTAAGGAAAAATATCCTGAGAATAATTTACATCTAAAAAATTTGTGCTTTAGAAAATTAACCTTTATTCGAAACGCTAATAGCAAGATACCCGCGAAAACACACACATGGTGACAAAATAAGCCAGGGGAAAATCATTTGGTGGGAAAAATGGAAAAGAATCCCAAATCAAATTTAAAGAAAATATCCCTTTATTAACTTTTGGTCGAGAATGTGTTTGTATATTTTCAGAAAACAACTCCGAGACCATCTGGAATCCTGTAACAGAGAGGAATAGACAGAAGCGCTCCAGCCATGAAGACAGAAGAGACAGAATTCAGAGATGGAAGATGCTGACAACGCCTCAGCATACCATCAGACAGCAGCTGTGGGTTGCTGATGGATGCCCAGGACCAAACCAGAGATGGGCAGACCTGCATTACCACCATTTTGTCCACCAACCAGATCTGAAATATAATGGCTGGCATGTACACATAAGGAACTATCTGGCATTGAAATTGGGACTCAAAATAACTGTTGGCCCAGAAAGGAACTCACTACAGACTGATTCATTTGCCTCTCAGCATAACCATTATGGCTTGTTGCAGTTTAGGTTCTTACAAGGGTATTTCTTGGATCACATGTTCTCACACATCTAGAAGAAATAATGAACAACATAAACAGACCCAGAGAAAGAGAAGCAGCAATCAGACTCTCAAACCACAGAGGGAAAGTAAGGGAGGATGGGGGTAAGGGGAAGAGATCAACCAAAGGACTTGTGTGCATACATATGGGCCTAGCCAGTGGCCATGGACAACTGGGTTTGGGGAGAGGGCATATCTAGGGAGGGGTTGGGATGGGAATAGGGGAATAAGGACAATGATGTGAGACCATAATCAATAAAATAAAATTAAAAAAAAAGATTGAAAAGCCACACAGCTAGGCAGTGATGGAATGTCATGAGCAACTAGAGGCCAGTCCTTCCTGGCCCTTGGCTCCTTCCTCTGCATAGCTCCATTTCAGTAAGGAAGAGAAAATGACCTTACTTGCTCTGGGCAATGCTTAGTTTGAAAAGCATTGAGAGTGTTAGAAAGAGTTGGAGATAAATAATAAAGGTACTCCCTCCAAGAAGGAGGCTGATGGGGAACAGTGACAGAGAGAGATTCTAGAGCCATCCAAAAGAAATAGAAATATGAATGTGTGATAACAAAATATACAGTAAGAACTCTGTTGTTTCATGAAATGCAGTCTGTAAAAGTTTAAGAATTAGTAATAAAGTTTAGGACATAAACTTCAGAAAGCTTATTTTTATTCCAATATGGTAAATTAAATATGTCATTCTTCAATTTAAAAAAGCTCACTCATTAATGGTTTTTTTTTTTTTTTTTTTTAAGTAAAGAATTATAGCCCTGGCAGAATGGGTTTAGTTGGTTGAAAGTTGTCTTAGCACTTAAGGGTTGGTTCAATACCCAGTAATGATACATGCTCAAGTTGTGGGCTTGATCCCTGGTAGGAGACATTCAGGAGGCAGCTCTCTCCCCCCTCTTCCTCTCTCCCCTCCTCTCTTTCTACTTTTTGTTGTTGTTGTTAATCCTCATCTGAGGATATTTTTCCATTGATTTTTATAGAGAGTGGAAAGGAGAGGGAGACATTGATGTGAAGGAGACACATTGATTAGCTGCCTCTGCACATGCCCCAACCAGGGCTAGGTATGGAGCCTGCAACCTAGGTACATGCCCTTGACCACAATCAAATCCTGAACCCTTCAGTCCACGGGCCAATACTCTATTAATCGAGACAAACAGGCTATGGCCTTTCCTCTCTTTCTAAAATCAATAAAGAGAGATAAAAAAAGATTTCTATATAACCTATAGCCCCTCAAAAAAGTAAGAAAAGACATTTCACTAGATTCTCTTATACAAACAACAGAAAAACACATTTTACTTTCTCAAAGGATGCTAGCTTTTTCAAACTTATTTAAAAACCTGATTTTATTTCTTTCCATGTGACATTCTCTTTCTCTAAGTGGATTCTCCAGCAGAATGGAGTTGCCAGCCTCTGACAGGTGCTCACCTGCTCCTCTCACTTAGTCACTGTATGAGCCACCGAGGCACCTGGGACAGGTTGCTCTTACGTAGAGATTTCAATTGTGACAGGTTAGGTAGTAATTTTTGAAATGGGTCTGGCATTCCTTTGGGAGTTAATAAAAGACCACTGATATCACTTGGAAAAACAAGACAACTGTAGTGACCAGGGTAATATGTTACTTTAAGGAACACAGCCATCACACAAGTAAAGATTTTGTGTATTTGGTGTATCTTTGTTCACCCAATGGAAAGGGAAAGAGCAAGGGACTGGGTTCCCAGAGTACACCACACTCATGGATTTCACAACAGTCAACCCCACACTTAGACCCTTGGATCCCAAGGAAAGATTACTAAGGGGTTCTTGGTCTCTTAGTTTATAAAAGTAGCCAGCATATCCATAGTTCAGATAGTCTCATCTCTGATCAGAGTGATAGGACTCTGTTTTAATAATCATTAACAATGATTTTTAGCTAAAAAGGTATATGAATATCCACAAAAGTTGAAATCACATGGCTATTCAATTTGGTAGTAAACAGTTTTCTGCTCCTTATTATTCCTTTGGCTGTGATTTTGCAGGGTTTGATTAAAAAAAAAACTGGACTTTTAAGAAGCAGTTACCAGGAGTAGTCTCAGGGGGAATTGGAATGAATGTGGTAAGTGAGGAAAGGGGGTACAGAATTTTAATTGGCATACAGATTCTTTCCCAAATGGAAATCCTACATGGTTTCCTCTCGGTCACAGTGATAATTTATCATAATAAAAAGCATTCATATACTACTTGGCAGCTTATAAGAGAATAAGGACAGGAATTATTGTCCTGTTTTACAGAAAAGAAAGGGTGATTCAGAAAAATGAAGTCATCTGTACAAATCATAGAAATGACAAATAGTGGAGGCAGGACTGGCCACTTGTTTTTCATGTACCATATTGCCTTATAATGCCAAAAGCCAGAGACAGGAGATACATTTTTCCGGCTTGGTTTTGGTTTTTCCTTTTGGTTAATCAATTAATTTGGGAGAGGTTAGTGCCACCATTTGTAAATTTTTGCTGCCTCCATGCTATTCTCATGCACAAATTCACTACCATCAATATCATTTCTCACTGGCCATCATTCTTGTTTCTCTTCCCATCCTTGCTTCCACATCTCATTCCTTCCTTATAGGCTACAATTTTCATAACCATGTGCCATCAACAATGTAGTGGAATACAGCAATGACCTTGAATTGAGATCCCAGAAAGCAGAAAGGCAAAAATTTGGGGTAAGATGTTTAAACAGGGAAAGTTTCCTTAAACAGGTGTTGAGTCCATCCAGACTCCAAAGAAAGAGCCATAAGGATGTCAGAACGGAACAGAAGGTTGGTGAGATTAGGATATTAGCTTGATTAAAGGATCAGCATGACAGGTAAGAAATGAGACAGGAGATATAAGCAGAAAGGTCTTGAAGCTATATTCCTGGAAACAGAACAGTAATTACTTTAAACAGTTTAAGCAGATATATTGTTTCATTATTAAAAGGCACAGAAATAAAGGTTTAAACTCACCCTCAAGATTTCTTCAACACAGCTTGGATCACTGGGAAGGTTTACCTAAAACAAAATAAACATTAAAAAATTAGCCGAAACTGGTTTGGCTCAATGGATAGAGCGTTGGCCTACAGACTGAAAGGTCCCAGGTTCGATTCCAGTCAAGGGCATGTGCCTTGGTTGTGGACACATCCCCAAGGGATGTGCAGGAAGCAGTTAGTCGATGTTTCTCTCTCATCGACGTTTCTAGCTCTCTATCCCTCTCCCTTCCTCTCTGTGGAAAATCAATAAAAAATATTTTTTTAAAAAATTAAGCACAATCTAGTTACTTTCAGAGAAGCTTATTGCATAATGCTTTTACTCTTTGTGAAAAAATTAAAATAAATATAGGTATCAATATGTTTTTTCCTTATTATATACAAAGCACAAGGAATCTACAAATGACCAATTCTATTTTACTTCAATGAAACAGTAATACCACAGTGCAAGGTGCAGAAAGCGAGTGCCTCGTTCTGTCACTGATTTGCTGTTGGACACTGGATCATCCTTCCCCATTGATCAGACTTCACTTTACTCATCTACTGGTATTCAAAGAAAGAGTTCAACTTCCTGATCTTTAAGGTCTCTTTGACCTTCTGACACAGTTTAGTGTGTTACTCATAATAACAGATTTTTTAAAAGATGAGGTCTATATGAAACACTTCTACGATTACATTAAGTTCTCTTTGAACTTATGAGCCCAACCAGATGCCTACAATTCTTATTGAAAACACAGGGTAAAACTCCTATGTAAACTGCATGCTTGCCTTGGCACTTAGACTCTTACACATACACAGTTAATCCCTTGAGCCATCTTTCCCAGTGTGACAACTTTCTAATCAACCAAAATTCAACTAGCAGAAGTGTACTGAGGACATACTCCATGTCTGGCAGTTGGCCCTTTCCTCCAGGGGCTCCATAATGAAAGCAAGAATCCAAACACCAAAGTGAGACACCAGCTATAAAACAATGTATAACGAAGGACTTGAGAGCCACCTGGACAAAGGTTTTCTGGGCATGATGTCACCTGTGCAGGTATGGACATCCCCCCAACATTCTTACCACTCTCCTTCATACCTTCAGCCTGCCCAGAATTGCAATCTGGGCAGGCTGATCATTTCCACCTCCCTGCAGTTCCAGTAAATATAATATTTGCTCTCTTTGATTCATTGCCTTGGGATATAAAAGGCTGGTTTTATGCAGGGAGCACTTCCACAGAGTCCACATGTTTCATGCCTCTTACAGGGCAATTAAGTCATAATCCCTTAGTTACTCTGACACATTTGAATATGAACATAATTATATTTCAGGAAATGGGGACTAGAACATGGATCCGGTTTCCCTCAAAGTTAAAATAAATGTTAAAATCATCATCAAATATTAACAGCATTAACGTTGCTACTGTACATGCATTAATGTCAACTAATATTTTTTAATTCCTTCTCCATGTATAGTTACTTGCTTCAAGTAGCATAAAATCCCTAGTTGGGGAGGCAGGCTAAGAAAGAGCCACCAACAATAAATGGCCATCCAGCCTGTGTTACCCTGGCATAATTAATTGATAGTGTCCTCTTCCTACCTTAAAAATGTCCCAGTTTGGATGATAAATTATACAGTCACCCTTATAAGAACAATCATATTCTAATACTGAGTACAAGAACAATAAAAAGAAAGGCTAAAAAGTTGGCTGGGCACACATTGTCAAGAAACTTAAATGCAGATTTTTGTTAAGGAACCATAGGTGGCCTAGCACAGTTCTTTGTTAATTTATCTATACATTTAGCAAACATTTTTGAGGGCCAGAGTCTGTGTCACTAGACTTGCAGTAGGCACAGATATAATAGGAAATAAAAGGAAACAGCTTCTTCTCTCATGGAGTTTGCAGATTCAAGAGGAAGGCAGATATAAAGAATCACATAGTTAATGTACAACTATAACTGTGGTAAGTGCTACAAAGGAGATCATCCTATGGACACTAGTTCTTCAATGAAAGAATTAACCAGTGAGTATTTCCTAGGTGCATGTCCAAATAACCGAGAAATGCTGCAATCTATCTGCCTCTTGGAGATCCATGATGCAAATTAAAGGTTCTGTGACCCCTATCTAATTTGTTTAACACAGCCCTTCCTAATTTCTTGACTGAATTCTTGGTTTTTTTAGTATTTGTAATACCCCCATTAACAATGATTATAATTGCACAAAATGAATACTTACATAACATATACTTGGAGATAGTGTTCTATTACAAGATTACAGAACTCAACCGATCATTCTTAACAGCAAATAAAATCTCATTCCATTGTTCAGAGCTCCAATAACTATTTTCAAAGTCAATTATTAAACTTCTAATGAATACCTTCCCCAAACACCAATATCAAAAATGATTATAGCCAAATCTTTAATATTGCTATTGCATTGTATCAGTGTGGTCTGCCTGGGCTAAAAATATATGGCCCACTCTCATAAGGACTTCTTTGCTCTCCTTTTTTATACAAATACATAAACATTAATTTTTTTCAATTAAAGAGGAAAAATATTGGCATTATGCAGACACAACATTTATGAGTATAAATGTTGGGTGGGAGTCCTGGCCCTATCACCAGGGAGCTAGACTTTGTAACATTAATCCTTTAAAATTCCACCATTTCCGATTGTAAAATAAAATAAAATAATGGTAATAACAATACCTATTCCTTTAAAAATCTCACAGGGTTGGTTTTTGTGTACAGCAAATGAAATCAATAATGTGAATGTGCTTTATAACCCACAAAGCCCCACACAATGAATCAGGTTTGTTCCCCTTGTCCTGTTCTTCTTACTGCTTTATCATTAAGTCCAATCTTCTTGTCTTTTCAAGGTAACATTTGACTCACTCTTGTCAACTGCAAATATCATCTCTACACCTGGTATTATGAATATCCATTTCCTTATTGGGAGAATGCTGTCAAAATAGAAAGAGTTGTGGACTCTGGGACTTTATAGGAAATCTAATAATGACTTATTGCAGTTGGTAGCACTCAGGATTGGGAAAAACTCTACGGAAGAGGGCAGCAAAATAAATATGCATCCACATGAAGTGTTCAGAATTTTTTAAAGGAAATAATGGAATCAAGCATTCACATGGAGCCATTAGTTCCACAGACTCATCTAGTTTTGCCCTATAGCTGTTTACATTGCCAGACAAATACATTCAAGCCGCACATATTTTTTCCACTGCAAGTGTGTTTGAATTAACCAGCGAATATTTCCTAGGTGCCTAGAAGAGTGTGAGGTATTGTGGGTTGCTAATACAAATAACTATGAAACTTGTCTTCTTTCCTTTCAAGTTACATGTCTAGAAGGGGTGGGAAAACAAACAATTAGAGACCCACTGGGATATACATTGTAAGGTAATCCTGACAAGGGTAATAGGATGGCATTCATTCACCCCCTTAACCTATTCATCAGTCATTCCATTTATTTCTTTAGACAGCAAATCTGAATTGAATTTACATTGTGCTCAGGATGGAGCCAAAAGGGAGTATTTAAGCAACAAACAAACTGTGAAATTACAGTGGGAAGGGTAAGGAAATATGGGGGAGATAAGAGATCAACCAAAGGACCTGTATGCATGCACATAAGCATAACCATGGACGCAAAATTCTGGGGAGGGAGGGCATGTATGGGTGTGGGTGGGGGGAAAATTGGTAAGATATGCACACATACAATACCTTAATAAAAATGGGAAAAAAAGAACTAAAGACAACATAATTTGTGCCTTCAAGATGCCACAGAAATTAGGGAAGACAAACATTTACAAGGGAAACAGACAATACTGACAATACCACACAGGTGGTCTGACTTAGGTGTCCAGGAGACAGTACCTACCGGGCTTGTGGACAGAGTCACGTCAGACAGAAGCTCCCAGCCGCCGAGATCCTGACTGTAGTCCTCACTCCACACAGGAGAGAGAGACCAAGAACTTGACATGGCTGAGAAGTGGTGGGGCCACCTGAAGCCACTCCTGTCTCTGAGCTCCCTGCAGAGCTGCGCTGGGGAAGAAAGCTGAACTAAGGCTATGGCTCAGCCCAAATTGTGCGCAGTTGCTCTCTCTCTGTCTCTCTTTCTCTGACACACACCCCTCTTGCAGTAATTCTGGATTCACTCAGACAGGTGTGAGAGAAGACTGGGGAAGAGAGCTAGTGGTGATACCCGGATTAGAACTGCTATCCGATGAGTTGCCAAACTGCTGTTTCATTCCAGAGCCACCTTCTCTTCTCTATAAATCCTCTCTTGAGTATTCAGATAGTCCACAAAGCGCAAGTTAGCCACTCAGAGCGGCAGCATCCTTCTGCATCACCCCTCTCTAACCCCTTCTCCTGGAGCAGAAAGCAAGGCTGTGCTATTCTCACTCCTGGTCCCAAAAGAACCTCTTGCGCTGGGCACAAATGTGGTCTTCTGAAGGCTAGCTAGGAAGGCAGGCGCACGTCAGGCAGGTGGTGAATTGACTGAGAGCCCTCACAAGTGCCTACCCTCTACGCATGTGACAGTGTAGGCTGCCACCCCATGTAGCCACAGAGAGCCCACACACAGATCATCTGCCTGGTGATAAATACATATCTTAGGAAATAATCAGGGTACCTTTAAATAATCAAATATTCAATTAACTGCAGCAACAATAAATGAATTGCATAGGATGTTTTAATCATTCTGGAATTAATCAGTTTGGAGAATACTTCTTGGCGATTAGGGTAATATGAGATATCAAAAATACCCTGATTGTGGCATTGAGAGACATAAGCAGCAGCTAGCACTAATAGAAAACATTGAGATTAATGTAAAACATTAAAAGAATAATCACCACATTGTTAACCCGGAGGAGCTCAATGCATGCCTCTCAGTACATTATTATTAAGGGATTGTGGGAGAAGAGAGGTCATTTTTTCCCCTTAAAAATCATCCAGAGGTTGCCTTATAATACCTGGTAATCAAAGCCCACTATTCTAGGTATATTTCACCTTGGCAATGACTTCGTAAAGCAGGCT